GTTTAAAATTATACGAATAATTCCTGTTTATATGCAAATAATTCACAACAATGACAATTGTTTAGTGACTATAAAGACCTTTAAGGTTATTTTTCCAAACTGACACACAAATGTCGAGATTTAAAACTAAAATAGTGTTTAATTATTTTTAATTACCTTTGTCATAAAAGAGTTTTCCTTTAACATATATTGCTCTCTTGCTCGGCCAGGATTTGAACGTGAAGATAATTCTATGTTATGTTTATTAACACCTAGAAATAAATATTATTTAGAAGACAACTGTAATATTTTTCTCATATAATGACAATCGACACCCTCACGTATTTAACTATTCCCTCAATATACAAATTATGATATTTAGAACAACAAAAGTGCATGTACTTATTAACGCACGTAAGAAGTTATACTTTTTAATCGTAACAAAAGAGAAATAAGTATTTTTTTTCTTTTTTCTACCCTTTGTTTATGAAAAAGACGTTAAATGCAATTGATGTTAATCATTTTCGATCACTAGGTATTGGTATGTGTATTTATTATGGAAATGGCTAATTTTATTAAACAACACCAGGAGGGTATTTATGACAAAAATGACACAGCCCCTAGAGTTAAAAGATACTCAAATATATATTATTTGTTGGCACTTTTATCTAATAAAAAAACACAAAACTGGTTTCGTAATTTAAGACATTTCTCAATAAATACAAATAAGGAAATTCTACAAGTTTTTTATGATTTCATTGTTTAAAAATAGTTTTGTCTGCATAAGGCTTTAGTGTGTTACGAAATAATTTTTTTGCATGCCCAAGTTATTAACAATTTTCTCGTGTATTTTTTTTACACGCGTTTTACTTGTTTGTGTAAATTAACTGTGAGTGGATTGTTTGAGGTTGCAGTTAAAGTTGCTCTTTTTAATATGTTGTTCAACAAAAAATGCTAGTTGTCATATTAAAATTGCTAAGTAACCACATGGTAGTTTAGAACGAAATGTAAAGCATGCACCGCAGGCGCCAACCTACCAGTGTAATACTTGCTCCGGGACGATTATGAAGCGAAGCCTGCAGAGTCTTGTTGCACAGCATTAAATCCGACGTATGATAAACATGTTAACATTTATGCCAAAGTTCTAGTCTGAGAATATCTTTGCAGTAAAGTCATTATCCACCAGAAAATTATCCCAGAATGATAAAATGACAAATATATAAATATAAAAGTCTGAGACCAAAGATGGTTTCAGCCTTTTTACATTTGAGTTAATTTTTGAAGTCATACAAAAATATTGTGTGCTCCATAATCGTATTATATTTTTAGCATTTTACAAAACGTGCTCAAGAAAGTTATTTTTTATTGCATAGTTACATCCATTGCTGAATGCATCAGTTGGACTTCAAAGGCAGTCCTTATTGACCGCAGTTTGCCTTGCTTGGTCTGCGGCCCAGAGAGCATTACCCCCACTGGGATGGATGCCAGCAAAGAGCTACGAATACATCTAAAGATGGACTGTTTATTTTATGAGCGTTTGCTCTTATATATTTTTTTAATATTCCTAAAGTTCGTGACATGTTTCAATAAGGCTCGACATGCAAATATTTTCCATTTTCTTAAATATTTGGGCGTAAGTGGAAAAGTTACGTATTGTAGAAATGTGATTGTTTAATTTTGATTTTTCTAATTCATGTTGGCAACATGTGGATAATAAAAAAAAACCGACGAATGTTAATTTTAATAAATTAATTTATATGAAAAATAAATTAATATATTTATTTATAACTTAAGAAGTAAATGTATGCTGCTTGATCTTAGTCGGGACTTCTTTTTGCTGTAATCATGTCGTAGCTTTGAATCCCAAAGGATCCCATAACCAAAGATTCATATTTCATATTGATTTCAGCTTCTCTGTGGCGGCAAGCTAAATACCAGTCATTTTGGAAATGTAATAAGTTCCATAAAAAGCAGAAAGTATCCTGTTTGTTCTAGCTCTCTCTTTTCGCTACATTAAAGTAAATTCAAGTACTTGGCTTTATTAACACATCTAAAATACATCATATTCTCATATATGATTATAAATTAACTTACTGCTTGTATTTGAACTATTAATTGCTTCATCGAATAAATCGTACGTGCAAATGTCAGTTATTGGTACCATGAACTTGTACAAATAAAAAAGGTTTTGTTTGCATTTATCGGCTTTCTATAAATTAAAATGAATTCTACGAGAGATGAGATCTCATTTGAATTCAGGCGGCAACAAAAACGCACATTTAGCGTTCAAAGACTCTAGAAAATCGCGTACGAGTCGTATAAAAGCAACATGAACACATAGAGAATCCTTTTGTTCGCAACTCCAGTTGTTTCACACCTACTTAAAGCCGAGGGCCAAGAGCTCGTTACCTTAGATTGAAGGCTCGCGGTCGACGGCCGTGTAGCCATCCCTACGGATCCCGCGTAAAAAAAACCTGATATGCAATACGCTTTCCTATATGGGGACACGGCCGCTTTGAGCGAAGTCGATCATGTTGCTTGAATATTTAAATTAGTCAAGCAGTCCTCTATACTTGGCAGCAACCTAGTTTTTGTACGGAAATTATATTTAGTTGTGCGATCTTAAATTTATATTCTTTGTGTGATGCTGTGAATGCCTATTTAGAAGATAATGATGTAAGTCTGAGCGTATTTTTTAATACAACCTTTTACAATAGTTCATTCAAAATTTTATTGTACGTACTGTATCAAAATTGGTAAAACTGTTAAATATCTCTAATAATATTAAAATATGTAGAAAAAGTGCGAAGAGATTGCAATCTTAAGTGCAAAGATTAGCACTATAAACAATATTAAATTTCTAAAAAAGCAATGGCGACATCTCTTGTTCGAATTATCGTTGTAAAACGATATTCGAAATTGTTTGTATGCTGGAAAGGATACAACAATAGGCGCCAAGGATTGCTTCAAATGCTAAGAAAACAATGTAGAAGAATGCGTTATGATTTTCGTCGGTGTGGCAATCAGCCGTTTAGCTCAGTGGTTAGAGCGTCAGGCCGCGAATGCCGAAGACGTGGGTTCGATTCCCACAGCGGCGACAATCTCTTCGCACTTTTTCTACATATTTTAATGTTCAATCTTAAGTGCAAAGATTAGCACTATAAACAATATTAAATCTCTAATAATATTTGATAATTATCACCATAATAAAGTTAGAAAAATTCTTGTAACTTATCGGTCTAAAACGAATCTTGGCGATAACACAGCACTCAATCGTTTGTTAAAATCATATAATAAGCTAATCATGTAAATACCATAGACATTTTTAATGAAATTATAGACAAGTTTAAGAGAAATCTGTCCGTTTATAGTTTTTTTATATAAACAGTTCTTCTTTGTCTCTACAATTTTTATTTCTGTTAAAAAATGTACTGTTATTTTTTGTTTTAATTATATATATATTGTTTCTGTCTAAAATCAACTATTGTACTTATTATTTTTTAGCATTTCATTTAATTTAATTCTTCTTTATTTTTTTTTTTGTCATTATAATAACTTTTGAATGTCGTTTCACCTGTAATTGAGATAATATTTAGTTTAAGACACTATGTACTTATTTATTCCTAAACATGTTTTCATGTGTATCTTGTTGGTGAAGTAAATAAATCAATGAATAAATAAATAGTTGAAGGTTATTTTATTTGTTACATAATTAGTAGATATAGAACTAGAGTTACGACTAATTAACACTTTTGAAACTGGTTAGGTTGCCCATACAGAATTATTGTGTCTCTTGAGCGAATTGTTATCATTCTAAATATAAATTACATGTGTAATCTGTAGTGTTGTATTCAATTTATGTGTCTAAATTATGTTCAGTTTGATTTTTTTCTTCTTATTTTCTATATTTTATAATATAACAATAAGAAGAAAGCCCTCAACAACAATTCCTAAAACTGCTGAAACATATTTTTTCCAATTTTAATATGTTAGGATTATAATCGTCAAGAATATTGTATACCTGTCTTCTTTCAATATTTTGATTTGATCTTTAATTTAATTTATCTTACTGAATTTAACGAATGCCATTAAATCTATCTATTTTAATTTTCACAGATTACTAACATAAACTATTCTTATCTTAAAAAAACAAAAAACAAAAAAAGCTTTAAACAACCTAACAACAACATTCTTTATGATTATTCATTGGTTTGGTAAATTTGTCAAAATGACCCCTGAGTTGACGCGCATGTATTTTGTTATAAGTTTTTATTCAATACCAAGCCAAGTCTAGAATAGTACAATATAAGTTCAAATATTTGCTTTAAGATATTAAATTGAATCCATAAGAAGTATAAAATTAATAGTATAAAATAAGTAGTACAACATTAAGCTACTTGATTATGATTATAAAGAGTACTCTACTTATTATTTATTAAATTGAAATATATATTATATTAATATAATAAAAAGAAAAAGCCATATATTCGTATCCATCGTTTATTTTCGTGTATCACTTTTTGACATGGTCAAATTTTTAATTTATACAATAAATATGAACTCCTTAGTAATGACTAAATTACAAAATATACATGGTACAATGCTACGTATTAAAAAGCTATCTAAGTCTAATGTATCACAGATTTTGGCAGCGCAGCCATTATTTATTTTACAGAAGATGGCATGGCATTGGCACAACCTTCCCAAAAATTTATGATGTCAAAATATCATCATTTCATTGTAACTATTCATGTCAAATTGTGGAGGAATGCAGATTAACATATCTGCCGTAATACATTTGTAAATTAAATGCAGTTTTCAATATTCATGGACAAAGCATGTTATTTTACATGAAAAATAGGAATATTATATACAATTACCGTCTATCAGAACAGTGACAAACTATTTACATAATATGAGCTAATGGACTAGCTATCACAACTTACACTGAGTTTCATTTAATCTTTTTCACTTTTATTGTAATTGCACTTCACTTAGTTTAAAATTTGTATGGTACCTTAAACATGAGCCGAGAGAGTACGTGGTGACGCACGAGGAGGTATTTGGTGGGCGGCGTGTGATGGGTGTGGCGGCAGCACTGGGTGCGCTCCGTGCACAGGTGGCGGAGGCAATGCCCCTATGTGGGCTCGAGCATGGTGGTGTCGATGCATAGGTACCGTCCCGCCGGCACCCGGACTTGGTACACCGCGGCACCTCTGGTTGCTCGGTACGTCGGGCAATGCAAATCTAAGCTTTTCCCAAAACGACTTATCGCCCCAATGCAAGTACGTATTGGTTTTTAGATACAACCTCAAATCGGGATCGAGATCCTTCGGCGGAACGTCGTCTATTAGCACAACAATGAGCCTTCTTCGTCTGTCTCTTAAGACTTGAAGATGCGCCGATTTGAATTCCATACTACTCCACTCGGATTTTATGAAATTCTCACTAAGCACCATTATGGTACGCCGCGATGTCTGCACTGCTCTTGTTAGGTTCTCAACCACGTTGCCACTTACTGCAAAGTCACGGTACGGCAGACATAATTTGTATGAGTGATCGCCACGTTCTAACATAGGCACCAATTCTGACGCAACCCACGCTTCGTCTTTAGAGCTGTAGCTCACAAATGCGTCAAACATTTTCTCGCGGTCATCTCTGTCTACATCATTAGCCCGCTGAAACAGTCTTACACCAAACCTTGAGTGGAACCATAATTTCATTTCTTGTCTGAATATAAATATGAGAAGGCTGACAAACAATACAAGTACTAATACGCCAAGTGATGCAATGAGTAGCGGTATATAGTCTTGAACTTCTTCGTTAGTTATTATTGTTTTGGTCGCAGTCAGATTGCCATTAATGCTGTTGTTAATACTTGGTAGTCCAGTACATATTGTACCGTTTTCCTCCATAATCTTGAAGCCTGAATCGGGATCGTTGTATATGTCTTCATTATATGACATTAAATCAGTTGTGTTTCCATTATTATAGACGCACTTTACGTCTGCCACATCTAAAACGGATGTCACTCTTTTGATCCATTCTCTTAACATTTCAGTGTATTCACAGTCACATGACCATGGGTTGTAAGATAGTGTAATGGATGTAACAGCTGGATTGATTTGCCACATCGATATGGTGACCAATCGATTATGATCTATATGTAATATTTTTAAACGTGGCATATTATTGAGTACGTCTTTAGCTATGCTGCGGATATTGTTGTTGTTAATGTAAAGTTCATGCAAGTTATCCAATCCATCGAACTCTGGGCCGTCCAAAGTATTTAATTTGTTATAATCTAAATGTAATATCTCTAGCTCCTTTAAACCATTAAAAGTTCTGTTTTGAATCTTTTCAATATGCGACGAGTTTAAATATAATATTTTCAGTCTCTTTCTTCCTATAAAAGCGTGGCTCGGGAGTATTTTGATGTCATTGCCATCGAGATACAGCTGCGTAGCTTCCATTGGTATTCTTTCCGGTAAAGAATTCACATAGCCGGCGCTCGAACATTCTACAACATTAGCCGACCAAGACTGATCGTGGTAGCAAGTACAGTTGTTAGGGCACGTCATTTCACAATCACAGGCGTCGAAGTCGCAGCAGTGGCACAGCGCAAAACAGTGAAATTCGTATTTACATAAAAACTGATGAGGTGCAGCTTCCACTAATGGGACATATGAACTTCCACGATTGTATAGTAATTTACAGTGTATACTATCCAAATCCATTAACTTCGGTTGCGTTCTCGCACGGTTTCCAGTGTTAATTTTTTGTAGCCACTCCATTGTGCAATCGCATTCTAGTGGATTCCCCCCTATAAAAAACTCGGGAACTGACTTATCCTGGGGTACAGCGGATATTCTCAAAGAATTTGGATCTAAACTCGTTATTTTGTTTCCGTATAAGTCTACGCGGGTTAAATTCGGTTTTTTGAAAAAGGTATATGATTGTACTTTTGAAATTAAGTTATCGTTCAAATACAGCATTTCAACAGAATTTGGTATTGCACTGCCGGTTATCTCTGTTAGTCTATTGGAGCTTGCGTCGAAAGTACTCAGCGATAGTTGTGATTCAATCTCAAAGTAATTTCCAAGTTCGGCGATTCTGTTTGCATGAATATCTAACCATTGCAGTCCAGTAGGAATCATGGCGTAATCAAACCACTCTAAACGGTTATCTGATATGTTAAGCCATACTAAATTAGGTAATTTAGCAAATAAACCGCCTATGTCTGTTAAATAGTTTCCGTCCAATCTTATGGCTTGCAAGTTAACGTTACCGTCGAATGCGCCTGCCTCAATTTTATGGATTTTGTTCCGGGACAAGTTTAATATTTTCAGCGATGTCATCCTGTCAAACACTCCTTTGCTTATATTGCCAATGTTGTTCTCGGTTAATCTTAATCCATACATTTGCTGCATAGTCATGAATGACGCGTTTTCTATGCTCACTATTAAATTCTCGCCCAAGTCTAGGGTCTTTAATTGTGGAATGTCCTTGAGAGAAATGGGAACTTCGTCCAGTCGGTTCCCATTAATATGCAGGTCTTGTAGTGTAGAGCAATTTCTAAACGCATGTGGATGTATTTTTGAAATTCGATTGCTGTCTATAGAAAGGACAGTTAACACCGGCATTCCAATAAAAGCATAACTCTCGACGTTAGTTAATCTATTATTCGACATTATAAGTGTATGTAAATTATTGAGCGAATTAAATACGTTTTCTGGGATATGTTCAATAAAATTGTCTTGCATCTTTAATATTTGTAAATTATGAAGATCTCTAAATAAGGCTATTTCAATTTTCGATACTCTGTTATGTGAAAAATCTAAATATACCAGTCGCTTAAGGCCCGTAAATGTTGAAGTATTTATCCAGTCAGAGGTTAATTCGTTGTGCGATAAATCCAACACAAGAAGTTGAAACAGGTCACTAAATAATCCAGGAGCGAGTACTGTAATTGTATTGTTATTTAAATATACTTCTTTTAATTCTTTTGTATCGCTAAATAGTTCTGGGGGTAAACTAGTAAGCTGATTGTCAGAAAAGCGAATCGTTGTTAACGAAACTAGTCCTTCCAAAGCTCTATCGGCAACAGAGTTAAGTCCGTTCCCTTGAAAATAGAGTTTTTGCAGTCGTTTCAATCCCGAAAGTAGGCTTGGAGGCAAAGTGTCTATAACATTTTTTGATAAATCTAAAACTAACAGATTGTCTCCACATTTCTCTGTTGGATGTCGATGGGCGGTGGAAAATTGAAAATGACTTATATCTCTCATTCGATTATTGGTCATGTTTAAATATTCAAGATTCCTCAATGTACATAAAGCTCCTTCAGGGAAACTTAACATGTTATTTTCACTAACATCTAATCTTTCCAAGTTCTGTATATCTCTTGAGAAGGCTGTCGGCGTTATCTCTAATGACATAGTCGCCCACTCTGTGTTGTGCGTTCTAATTGTTAAATTTTTTAGCTCGCGCAGTCCGGTGAACGCGCCGTCGGAAAGATTTCCAATTTTACAGTATTCTATTGTAAGTTCCCGTAACTCTACTAACTGACGAAAACTTCCGGGGGCTAAGGAACTTTGAAAGAACAGTGCGTCGCTACATTCAAGGCGCAGTCGAACCGTGAGATGAGGTTGTATAGCACTAAAGTTTGTGTTCTCTAATTCGCTATTGATAGTCCTTAATCTGCATTGTAATGTAACTCCGGACTCATCGTTGTCAGTGGTCCATCGGCACTCGTCAGGGGCCTGATATCGCGCTCCCGTCGTTGCCGACAGAGAGGCGCTCCAAGCAGGCGAAGTGGCACTCAACACTAGCAGGGCGCTTGTTAACAACATGATGCACATTATTAATTCACTTAACTTCACTTAAATATTCGAAACGGACGCCAGTTTCATTTTATACGCTGTAGCACTGCGTTGGCACTGAGATAATGCATCGTTGACGCAAGTTTATTATTTCAATTGGTATTTTCACTAGTCTAACCGTCCACTTAACTTGTTTCCCGCGAGCGCACTAATTGGACAAGATCGCGCTGTCAACTACTAGAGCGACGTGACGTGCGCCCGCGCTGAGGCTCAGAATGGGACTAACTTGTGGTCGAACCTGCGCTCGCGCACAAGGCCGTGCCGGTTCACGCGTTCCAACAGGTAAATCATGGCCCGCGGCTAAAACGTTCTATCCGCCTCGGTTGGAGCATTGAGTTTAGCTTTATTCGTTTCATAGCAGTGCCCGTCAGAAAAATACACGCCACGCACACAGATGCGCGGCGCACACAACACTTCTAAGCGAAACTGCTTTTTGTGGTACTTGGGCGAGCTTTTCTAAAATGAGTTGGAGCGGGACAGAGATATTGCGGGGTGGCTGCGGCGTGAACATAGGTGGGGATATAACCAGCTGCCCAGGTAGTGCGCTGTTGGACTGCCTCACTCGTTGCTTGTTATCACTTCGCAGGCAGAATTATTTTGCTCGCAATTACCGTATGTTGGACGCATTTTGAAAATAGAACAGTATTGAAGTTTGCTACGTGAACTTCATTAGACGTTTTTTCTATCTCTATGTAACCTTATATTTGAAATTTAAATATTTTTTTAATACAGCATTGAGATATTAAATTAAATAACTTGCTTGAGAGAATAAACCAAACTTGAGTCCCCCTAATTTTATAATACCTTTTTCCTTTTTTATGTTTTAATAACCATAAATATAATTTTGAAAATACCCAACTGACCAAAGTTTATATTAAAATATATAAACTTTGGCCATTTGGGTACTTATATTTAAATAGTTTATATTTAAATAAAATAAATTATAGTGAATATTTATGGTTATAATATTTAAGGTAAATGTACACCAACCTTTGCTTTTTTAATAATTCTGATGTATTAAGAAAATTACACGCTGTAAAACTTCAATTATTTCCTTTCTAGGCTATTCTGTCACTACCAATTATACCTTTCCTTGGTTATGCGGTTGCAGTCTTTTACTTTAAATGAATGGTTTTGGTAAGTTTGCATTATATCAAACCTAACCCGTCATTATGCTAAACGTTCACATATTATGCTTTTCCCGTAGACAATAATTTGATTCAAACCGTTTGATTCCAGAAATTATGGTTCCATAGTAATTTTAAAGCAGTTTTCTGTGCGTTTCAACGTATTACATCTTCGAATTTTAAGGTTTTTTTATTGTAAAATAAGATGTTTTCATTAGTATATTTGAGTGGATACATTATTTGTTAGTGATAATTAACACATGTATTATATATTTTCATTACCGCAACAGCGTGTTACTTCAATAGCACTGATTGGTACTTCTCGTGTAATATACAGCATCAATAAGACAGGGTGTAGTTAAACTAACCCGCAGTTTCTTTTTTTTTAGAGGAAAAAAATACACAAATCAGCTTGTCCGAAATTGACAACGGTCTTGTCGATATATCATTCGAATCTCGGTACCAGTTGGATATCAATTTTAATATTTATTTTGTTTCGTTCGTTCGTTCCGTTTGTTTTGTGTGTGCATTGTAGCATACTTTAAATAACATGGCATTACATTTATATGTTTTAATCGGAGAAAATTATCCGTAAGTGGAATTATTTTTTCCCGTATGAAAACGTATGTTTGTTATTAATAGTACAGTTATAGCAAAACACGTTATTAATTTAACTCTGGAATGATTCACGATTAAAATGGTGTAAGTAATAAAATA